CATATGGGGGGGGGGGGGACAACCTAAAAAATGCTGCAATCGGGTTTCTATTGGCCAAAATTGTTTAAGGATACACATGCCTTTGTTAAAAAGTGTGACAGGTGCCAAAGAACCGAAACAATCACGAAGAAAAACGAGATGCCTTTGCAAAATATACTGGCAGTGGAACTTTTTTATGTTTGGGGATTGATTTCATAGGACCGTTCCCATACTCTAATGGTTACAGATACATCTTGGTGGCAGTCGACTATGTGTCTATGTGGGTAGAGGCCATTGCTAATCCTACTAATGATGCAAAAATAGTGATAAACTTTGTAAAGAAGCACATCTTCACACATTTTGGGACTCCAAGGGTGCTGATAAGTGACGGAGGAACTCACTTTTGTAAACAATTATTGAATAATGTTCTAGCAAAGTATGCAGTCAAGCACAAGGTTGCCGCCGCCTATCACCCACAAACGAGTGGTCAAGTGGAAGTGTCAAACAGAGAGGTGAAGCAGATTCTAGAGAAAACAGTAAGTAGAAATAGGAAGGACTGGGCCGGAAAGCTGGATGATGCATTATGGGCATATCAAACTGCATACAAAACCCCCCATAGGTAATTCTCCATACAGGTTGGTTTATGGGAAGGCATGCCATTTGCCCATCGAACTTGAACACAAAGCCTATTGGGCGATTAAAAATCTAAATATGGATATGGATTTGGCCGGTGAGAAACGGTTACTACAACTCAATGAGCTTGATGAGTTTCGATTGCACGCGTATGAAAATGCCAAATTGTATAAAGAAAAGACCAAGAGGTGGCATGACAAGCACATCCAACATCGTGAGTTTGAGCTAGGTCAAGAAATTCTCTTGTTTAATTCGAGGTTGAAGCTTTTCCCCAGAAAGCTTAAGTATCAATGGGCAGGTCCTTTCGTTGTAGTAAGTGTGTGACCTCATGGAGCGGTAGAATTGCGTGATACGAGCTCAAGCTGTACCTTTTTGGTAAATGGGCAGAGAGTAAAATATTATTGGGGTGGTGACATTGCATGTCACAAGACCTCGGTGGACTTGGCCGGTGCTTGAAAACGTGTTGAGTCGTGCCACAATATTAAATCAGGCGCTTGTTGGGAGGCAACCCAATCATTTTTTTTTGCTTCTAACCCTATTAGAATAGTTTAGATAATTATAGTTTAGCATTATTAGCAGGAGTTTTGATACTTGTTTGGGCAAGTACAAGTATGAATTGGGCATCAAATACGTACATAATAGAGTCGAGTGTTGATAATTTTTTCCAGAATATTTTCAAAACTATGCCTTGGCACCAATTAGTATTTTTCATACAATTTCTGCATTTTTAAAATATTTTAATTAATTTATCCCGGCACTTTATTTATAAAACAATCACGGATTGCATCACAAAATAGTTTTAATAATTTTTTGGCTTAAATTTATCATTTACATTCGTATTAAGTTTCAACTATTGCACAAATAGCCACATCTGTATTTTTAAGATACAATTGCAATTACTTTGCAATTATAGTCTATGCATGTATTATTACACTATTTTTACCGAAAGATAGCGTTTTATATTTTTAAAATATTAAGTAATTACTTAAAACATTCCCATGCATGAAAATAATTTTTTTTATAATTTATTAACCATTTTGTAAAATTATTATATCAATTAATTATGTATTTAACAAATAGCCCCTTTTGCATTTAAAACCTAGCCTATTAACTAGCCCAAACTCCTTATAAACCAGCCCAGGCCCAATACCCACCTGCCCCAACCCAATACCTGGGCAAATCTTGGTCGTTGATCATTTTGATCAATGGTCCAGATTCCCCATTCCTAAAATAAACTAACCTATACCCCCCAAACCCTAATCATTTCCCTCACCACCCCAGCCATCACCTAATCCTCTTTTCTCTCAAATGCTCTCAAGATAAACCCTAATCCACCCTTGCCGGCACTCATCTATGGCCATCCATGGTAGTTTTTCACCACCCCTAGGCCTCTAATGGCCTCTCCTGTACTGGTATCACCATCTCCAGGGTCCTCAAGGGACCAGGTTTAGTATGCTTGTATCTATGTCCCTTTCTCGTGTGTCTCAGGCTGTTCCGGTTTGATTCCGAGTAAGATCTTCCTATATCTCCTTAGATCTATGGATTTCTAAGCTTGCTTCTTCACCTTTGTTTTGTTCTTCTCGAAACCCTAATCTTCACCTTAGATCTGGGCAAGATATGAGATAGATCGAACCTATTTCGTATGAGTTTTATAAGAACCTTCTGATTTTCGAATGATTTTTCATTTTTTAAAGTTAGGGTTTCCCGAAAATTTCTTTCTCCAAAATGTTTGATAATTTTGAGTGTTTAACCTTCTATTTCTTATGTGTTTTAACCGATTTCATGAAGTTTGCTTTAACCTTAACTTGTTTATGCTAAAACCCCTAATTTTTCGACATTTTTGTTTGGTTTCTGAATTACTTGTGTACTGACTTTGTCCTTGCCTTGGTTCTTGTGAATTTTCTTTAGCCAACTAGATGTCTTGTGATTTTTTTATCCTAATATGCCTCTACTAAGTTTCTTGGTTCAACTTTTCTACTGATTCTATATGTCTATGTTCATACCAGCTATTCATGGTAAACCAATATTTTTCTCCTTAAATCAAGGTTATTTTGAATTTTGATTTACCATTTTGCTTCGTCAAAAACTATGTGTTGAGCCCTGACTATTCCTTCCTTGCTTATTTGAATTGTCTGCGATATTTGCTGACTCTTTACGTTATTTTCTCTTTTAATTAAACCCTTGACTATTCTGAAGTTCTTATTTTGGTTTGATTGAAACTCTTTTCCTTAACAAAACCTTTGATTCTTACTTCTTTACTCATTTTGATTGAACTTTTTGCCTTAATTAGTTTTCTCTTGTCTTATTTGAATCAACGATATTACTTGCTGATTTTTACTAATTG